ACAAGCAGTTCAAAATCTCTGATATAACATTTTAACCTGCTAGTGCAGCTCACTGTCCTGCCCCCCCCCCTCCATCTCAGATTTTGGAGGATCTAGAAACACAAGATAAAGTAGGCAACAGTTGGCTCAAGTTTGAGCCCTTATGTAAATAGATCAGGCTGATGAGATTTGTCTGGCCCAGTACGTGTTTACTACAACTAGCCCACACAGCAGTTGGCTTTAACTATAGTCAGAGGCGTAGCGGGGGGGGGGGGGGGGTGCGGACCGCACCGGGTGACACCATTTAGGGGGGGGTGGCACCAAGGCTAAAAATAGTAAAATATATAGAGAAAAATTTGAGGGGGGGGGGGGAGGGGTGTGCAATCAAAATTTTGAGGGGGGGGGGGGGTTGCAAATCGAAAGTTCCAGGGAGGGGATGCAAATCGAAAATTTGTCCCCGGGAAGAGTCGCTACGCCTCTGGGGGGGGGGGGACACACACCATTAAGTGCCGCACCTGGTGACACCCGACCTCGCTACGTCACTGACTATAGTACACTGTAGGAAGACACACACATAAAAATGCACTACTAGGTGCTTATGTAGGAAACACTGGCCACTTCACCCACCCTAATATTGTATTAAAAGAAAAAAGCCCCACCCTGGTACCTCCCCTGTCTCTTGGTACAACCAATATTTCAATATGTTTATAAAACTGATTAGTATGTTAAAATACAAGCCAGAACAAACCCCTGAAAGCATTATCAAACACAAGTTTATTTCATTATATTTTATACAATCATTATTGCTATTGGTTGATAAAAAATTTGGGGGTGTGGCTGTCATGCACTGTTGTACACAAGGTAAACATTGTAATTAAATTAAAAAAATAAAAACATACAATAATTAATTTTTTTTCTCGTAGCCAGAGTACAGCTGGTGACTCATAAGTACAGATGGTGACTCATAAAACATGGTGACCCATAACAAATCTGGTGATGTTTTATACAGATGGTGACCCAATACATGTTGCAATACTAAGTACTGATCACAAGCTTAAAACACAATGAGAATATTTCAGTTGACAAACTCTTGTTTTAACTGGCTGGTACACCTAACACTCAGACGCTAACAGAGAAAATCAAAAACATTTGGGCCAGTTATTTCATCAGATAAAATAACAACGAGATCTGCTATAAATAAGTCTTTTTCCTCAACTGGCCCGTATCCAGCTATAGTGGTCACTGTATACAGGTCATTTTATACAAGTCATTAATAAAATTTAACAAATTATTTTTCCCCTGAATAAACAGTTTCTCGGTAGTTCCGATTAAAAATAAAATCATCTGGAAATTTTTCCATCTCTGCTTCATATCTTTAATACAAAACACAAGCTGTTTAGGTTTCCAAATTGGAATAGTTTTACATTATACTTTTCAACATCTTTATGATTTGTCAAATAACAAACATAACATATAGGACAAAAATAAGTGTTTTATTAGCCAAGAATAAATTACAGTTCCAAAGATATAATGAAAGTTACTCAGCATAAATAAAATACTTCCAACAAGTACAGCTATGCAGGAACAACACTTTCCCTGCAAGAGGCAAACAGCTAACAGTCAGTACTCTAGAATGATTTACCACACATCACAAAGTTAGCATTGTAGCATTACAGTCCTTATAGAACAGATGAAGTAGAGTTTGTGTTTTTTAAAAGAAATAACCTCAAAACTATAGGCCAACAAGTTGAGGTAAATTAGGAAGCTAACCTTAACCACGATGAACTGTTTTAGGGTTTGTGTTAGCATTCATTACATAAAGAGTAAATATTCGTAGGTCATTAGTAAACTTTTGGTCAAAGATTGTCCAGTATAAATGAAGGGACATAACTGCATGATAGTTAAATAAATTGTCAACATTAGCAAGTGGTAAAATAACATTCCCCTTGTCATAAAGCAACAGGACATATGTGAGTTATGTCCCTTTCATTTCTTACAGTCTCAAAAACTTTTTTTAAATAAAGTTTCATTTTGAACTTTTGCCATCTAGATCTACACCACTTACACAATTTATGAATGATATTTTGGTTTAACATGACAAAACATTTCCTAGACATTTTAAAACCTAAACCACAACTATCCCAATACACATTTTATGGAAGGTGAAGCAGAATTTTTTTATTGAATCCTAGCTGGAAGACATTCCATCTTTGTTTACAAAAATATCAGTGGAATCATTAGAAATATAAGGTTATATTTTATAAGAGAATATTTTTAGTGCATGATTTGTGAGGTGGCTTTCAATGCTAGTACCACTTTCAAAAGTCACATGATGTTCACTAAACAATGATTTGTACAACAGTTGCAAACATTACACAAAATAATTCCTGTTCATTTATCATTGATAGCAATAACAAATATTTTGTTCAATGAATAAAATGATTTATTTTAAAGACAATCTACCTTTACAAATGTATGATTAATATTTGAAATCTGCCTTTACAAATGTATTTTTAATATTTGAAATCTGCCTTTACAAATGAAGCTCTTTGTTTCCAGGTACACAACAAACAGACAATGTTGGATACCCCATGGACTGGCATGATCAGCTAACTTGTGGTTTATCAGACGGTTAAAAGACAGAGACTACAGCATAACATATATAGACCACAGCATGACATTTGTAGACCACAGCATGACATTTGTAGACCACAGCATGACATTTGTAGACCACAGCATGACATTTGTAGACCACAGCATGACATTTGTAGACCACAGCATGACATTTGTAGACCACAGCATGACATTTGTAGACCACAGCATGACATATGGAGCACAGCATGACATGTGGAGCACAGCATGACATGTGGAGCACAGCATGACATGTAGACCACCACTTTAACAAAACTGTTTTATTTCAAACTATTTCCACAAAAGTTTTTTAGCACACCATAACAAAACACTTTTATTTCACATAATTAAATAAAAAATATTTTTTTACATCATTAAATGTCATACTATACCATAACAAAACAAATCCACATAATTGTTTCATTAAAAAGTTATTAAGGCCATACTAACATTGCAATCAGACATGTAAAAAATAACGCAGCTACTGATTTAGTAAATTAAAAAAAAAGTTAGTCCAAAACAGATGAATGTTAGGAACTAAAGGAGTTGCATACAGAATAATGGAAGCTGATGATTAACAGAACCAATGAAGAGGGTACTCCCTAACATTCTATTCATTGTTACACAAATATATCATTGAATAATGTCTAAAATAAAAGTTTATAAATAATAAACATCTTGGTAAAAATAAACATACATTAAAGTACAAACAAGCATAGTAGAAACTGACCAGTGTATCCATTAACCCTGTCCAGGTGATCACTGACACTGTCCAGGTGACCACTGACCCTGTCCAAGTGACCATGACCCTGTCCAGGTGACCACTGACTGTCCAGGTGACCATGACCCTGTCCAGGTGACCACTAACGATGTCCAGGTGACCATGACCCTGTCCAGGTGACCACTGACTGTCCAGGTGACCATGACCCTGTCCAGGTGACCACTGACTGTCCAGGTGACCACACTGACTGTCCAGGTGACCACTGACCCTGTCCAGGTGGCCACTGACCCTGTCCAGGTGACCACTGACTGTCCAGGTGACCACTGACTGTCCAGGTGACCACACTGACTGTCCAGGTGACCACTGACCCTGTCCAGGTGACCACTGACCCTGTCCAAGTGACCACTGACTGTCCAGGTGACCATGACCCTGTCCAGGTGACCACTGACTGTCCAGGTGACCACACTGACTGTCCAGGTGACCACTGACCCTGTCTAGGTGACCATGACCCTGTCCAGGTGACCATGACCCTGTCCAGGTGACCACTGACCCTGTCCAGGTGACCACTGACCCTGTCCAGGTGACCACTGACTGTCCCAGTGACCATGACCCTGTCCAGGTGACCATGACCCTGTCCAGGTGACCACTGACCCTGTCCAGGTGGCCACTGACCCTGTCCAGGTGACCACTGACTGTCCAGGTGACCACTGACTGTCCAGGTGACCACACTGACTGTCCAGGTGACCACTGACCCTGTCCAAGTGACATGACCCTGTCCAGGTGGCCACTGACCCTGTCCAGGTGACCACTGACTGTCCAGGTGACCACTGACCCTGTCCAGGTGACCACTGACCCTGTCCAGGTGGCCACTGACCCTGTCCAGGTGACCACTAACCCTGTCCAGGTGACCACTGACTGTCCAGGTGACCATGACCCTGTCCAGGTGACCACTGACTGTCCAGGTGACCACTGACTGTCCAGGTGACCACTAACGATGTCCAGGTGACCACTGACCCTGTCCAGGTGACCACTGACCCTGTCCAAGTGACATGACCCTGTCCAGGTGACCACTGACTGTCCAGGTGACCACTGACTGTCCAGGTGACCACTGACTGTCCAGGTGACCACTGACTGTCCAGGTGACCACTGACTGTCCAGGTGACCACTGACTGTCCAGGTGACCACTGACCCTGTCCAGGTGACCACTGACCCTGTCCAGGTGGCCACTGACCCTGTCCAGGTGACCACTAACCCTGTCCAGGTGACCACTGACTGTCCAGGTGACCATGACCCTGTCCAGGTGACCACTGACTGTCCAGGTGACCACTGACTGTCCAGGTGACCACTAACGATGTCCAGGTGACCACTGACCCTGTCCAGGTGACCACTGACCCTGTCCAAGTGACATGACCCTGTCCAGGTGACCACTGACTGTCCAGGTGACCACTGACTGTCCAGGTGACCACTGACTGTCCAGGTGACCACTGACTGTCCAGGTGACCACTGACTGTCCAGGTGACCACTGACTGTCCAGGTGACCACTGACCCTGTCCAAGTGACATGACCCTGTCCAGGTGACCACTGACCCTGTCCAAGTGACATGACCCTGTCCAGGTGACCACTGACTGTCCAGGTGACCACTGACTGTCCAGGTGACCACTGACTGTCCAAGTGACCACTGACCCTGTCCAGGTGACCACTGACCTTGTCCAAATAACCAATGACTGTCTGATTAACCGTTAGCTCTGTGTCAAAATGTATATGATTCAATACTTATCACACTACTCTAGTCACATACTTGGTGGCTTCAGGATAAATAAGACAGGGACACATATAAATGTGGCGCACAAATCTAAACAATCAAAACAAAATATCTCACTCAACAAGTCATAGAATTGTCTTAAAATAAAACAATCTCAGAAAAAAAAAACAACATTTACAACTAGTTTGTAAAGTTAAAAATCTGTAGACCCAGCTATCACAAGGAAATTGAGAACTATAAGAATAGATATAACCATGCATCCTAAATATTAACTTGACACAACCGTACATTCTTAATGTAAACTTGACACAACCAACATCCTTAACACAAACTTGACACAACCCAACACTTCTTATAAAAATCTAAAAAAAAATATTTTAAAACATCAAAAAGTATCAAGTTTATATTTACAACATGTTTCAAAATAGTGCAAGTTTTCTCACACATCCTTCAATACAAAAAATCTCAACCAACACTTATAGCAAATACATCAACAAACTATTTATAGGGCAAGAATTGTTCACCATAAAATACAGCCTCTCGCTCACATTCTGTTGTTTTCATTAGCAAAAGTTACCTATATTTGGTTTCAATAACATTTCAAGCATAAGTCAGTTAAATGCATTATATTCTTGGTTTACTATCAAAGTAATGTGAGCGCTAACTAGCCTCTAGGCGACTGTCCAACCTGCTAAACAGGCGCACACGTCTTGCATTATGGGTAGCGGAGTTGATCACTTCCATCCATCTGATGAACATATACAGTGCTCAATGTTATCACATATACAATACTTAATGTTATCACATATACAATACTTAATGTTATCACATATACAATACTTAATGTTACCACATATAAAATACTTAATGTTATCACATATACAATACTTAATGTTACCACATATAAAATACTTAATGTTATCACATATACAACACCTAATGTTATCAGGGTCTATAATGTCCACATTAAGGAGGCGCACAAAAACTGTACACATAAACAATAGGTACAACAAACTGTATACATTAAGGACAGGTACAACAAACTGTATACATTAAGGACAGGTACAACAAACTGTATACATTAAGGACAGGTACAACAAACTGTATACATTAAGGACAGGTACAACAAACTGTATACATTAAGGACAGGTACAACAAACTGTATACATTAAGGACAGGTACAACAAACTGTATACATTAAGGACAGGTACAACAAACTGTATACATTAAGGACAGGTACAACAAACTACACATAAACAATAGGTACAACAAACTACACATAAACAATAGGTATGATGATATGAAACAACAATAAATTTAACCGTTTGTCTTTAGCCACTGATGAATAGAAACTATAAATTCTACAAAAGAATTATCTAATGGAATATTGTCAAAAAACTATTGTTCTTCAAAACAAATAGCTGTTATAATTTTAAAAATATTGCTATCAAGAAGCTGTCGTTCATAAAAAAAACAATTGCTGCTGTTTTTGGTCAAATAAATAAAAAAATTGCAGTCATCAAATAAAAATAAACCAGGAGTGATCTCCCCTTAACTTTCTCGAATATTCTAATCTATCACTACGGGGGATGGCAACTCGGGACAAAGACAAAATTTTTAATCCATTTTTAATGACTTAAACTTTTTATAATAGAATAGAGTCTGGTAAAAAAAGATTTGCACATCAAGTGAACGCCAAATAAAATGTGCATAATAGTGCAGGATATTATTAATACTTTATAAATTCACATGCGTTTTTTTTTTAGAAATCGGAAATTGCGTAAATTACTACTTCCGGTCAACGGAAATTACTCAAAATTTTATAGAAGGCAGAGAATTAGAACTTTTACTTACATGTGAAATTTCATTTATCTATCTGAAATAGTAGGCCTACTCAAGTTATAGGCTTTTGAAAAATTCAAAGTAGAAAAAGTTCCACTTCCGATTATCTGAAATCGCTCAAAAGTTGATACGGATCTACGATTTTGATATAATACTTATATATGAAATTTTATCAACCTGGCTGTAACGGTACTCAAGTTATCGTGTTTACACACACAAAACTGCAAAACTATGTTTTTCTGACTCAGAGAGCCCTAAAACGTCGAGATTTGCAAAAATCTCGATTTATTTTTTTTGCACGATTACAAGACTTTCTCTTTACTTTGTATATACGAGAAAGTAAAAACACTGTCAACATCAAATAAACTGCAAGAATATCTGACCTGGAGAATGTGTACTCGCTCTCTGCCCTGAAGAAATAGACATGGTTTTTGAACTGCAGCTTGAAGACATGATCCTTGTTGATGCCATCCTCCTCCTCTGGTGTGTTCACAGCATAGCCCAGCAAAGGGAGGCTAGCCAAGGGGAAGTCATCCTGAGAAACAAAACAAGGACTCAGCTCTATATCAATACAAGATCTTCCTTAGCACAAAACTACTTTAACTAGATGGGGTACCCTGTCTTGTTGTCACAGGTGGTTTCTGTCCAGAGTTTTGGTGACCAACACCCCACTTACCTGGTATGTTTTGTAGAAGAAGAGACAAAAGTTTGTGAAGACAACCCACAACTTTTGCCACCCATTGCTGGTCTTAAACTTGCGCAGTAGATACCCGCTTAGTTGGTTCTGTTGATGGAGGCAGGAATATTTCATTAGCCTTTACTTTATGCAGTCAATATTTGTCAATGTTTTTTTTTTGTCAACACATAAAAAACAATAAACCATTAGTATTAATAGTTTCGCTGTCTGTGTATGTATCTGACAAGAACGCTCTGTCTGACAAGAACGCTCTAGAGAAAAGACAAGCAAATTAAAAACCTGCATAGTAATTCGAAAAACGAAGTATGACGTAGCCACATTTAGCACAGAGTAGAAAATAATCTCAAGCCGGAGAGTGCACACAGTAATATGATGTCATTGATTCTCGAGTAAACATTGAATAAAAAGGCAATTTTGTCTAATCTAAGTGGTTTGCGTGAAGAGTTTCTTTCATACAATTCTTCGGGTAGGGGCGAAGCCCCATCCCCGCGTAAGAACGTCTGAGCCCCCCCCCCCCCCTCCCTAACTCAAAAGAAATTTCTTCATCGATACTCTATAATAAAATTACCGCCTAATTAATGTGTCTAATCTAAAAAGTGGTTTTCTTGCAATTTCTTTAATGCAATTCTTCGCGTAGTGGCTAAGCGCGACACCAGTGTTTCTTTCAGACTTTTTCCTCTCTTCCGGTAGGGGCGAAGCCCCGCCCAGATTCTTCCTTTAGTTTGTATGTTCTACAAATGCGACCAGTGTTTCTTTCAGACTTTTTCCTCCCCGGAGAGGGGTGGGGGTACTTGAAATTTTCGGGGGCGGGGGTAGAATTTTCGTGGAGGGGGCCGGACACTGGAAAAAGTATATAATTATATTTCGTTGAATGGGACGGTAGACATGTTTTTTTGGGGGGTGGGGGTGGGGGGGGTGGTGTTTGGGGGGGTGGTGTGTGTGGGGGGTGGGGGTGGTGTGTGTGTGTGGGGGGGGGGTTGGTTTTAGTTTAGAGAAAAGAGACAGCACTATCAGCCTAGCGCCCGTTGTATCCTTCCTCAACGGGCCATTTTTCTCGTTTTTAATATTGTCAATGATAAAGACCAAAGGACTTGTATATGATGAAACATTTAAAAAAATAAAATAAACAAAAAACTGCTGGAAAAACAAATGACTACTTAAATTCTGAATCAAATGTTAAATACCTTGAGAGCTTTCTCATGGTCCCTAAAGCTAACACTGGTGTTGCGATGCCAACAAACATGCATAGTTGTGTTTGCTCTGTGCTGTATAGGTTTGTCCTGAGGAGACTGTTCTCTGTCTACATTCTCACCACTGCCTACATTCTCTGACGAGCCTGTTAGAAGTAAACATGTCATTAGTATATCAGCAGGACATTATGGGACACAGGTACCATCTCATCAGCAGGACATTATGGGACACTGGTACCATCTCATCAGCAGGACATGATGGGACACTGGTACCATCTCATCAGCAGGACATTATGGGACACAGGTACCATCTCATCAGCAGGACATTATGGGACACAGGTACCATCTCATCAGCAGGACATTATGGGACACAGGTACCAACTCATCAGCAGGACATTATGGGACACTAGTACCATCTCATCAGGACATTATGGGACACAGGTACCATCTCATTAGCAGGACATTATGGGACACTGGTACCATCTCATCAGCATGACATTATGGGGCACTGGTACCATCTCATTAGCAGGACATTATGGGACACTGGTACCATCACTTAACAAAGTGAGGACAACTTACTGGCACTAGACTTTAGGCTGGGGTACTGTAATTTATCAGGTCCTATAGGACAACTTACTGGCACTAGACTTGAGGCTGGGGTACTGTAATTTATCAGGTCCTATAGGACAACTTACTGGCACTAGACTTGAGGCTGGGGTACTGTAATTTATCAGGTCCTATAGGACAACTTACTGGCACTAGACTTGAGGCTGGGGTACTGTAATTTATCTGGTCCTATAGGACAACTTACTGGCACTAGACTTTAGGCTGGGGTACTGTAATTTATCAGGTCCTATAGGACAACTTACTGGCACTAGACTTGAGGCTGGGGTACTGTAATTTATCAGGTCCTATAGGACAACTTACTGGCACTAGACTTGAGGCTGGGGTACTGTAATTTATCAGGTCCTATAGGACAACTTACTGGCACTAGACTTTAGGCTGGGGTACTGTAATTTATCAGGTCCTATAGGACAACTTACTGGCACTAGACTTGAGGCTGGGGTACTGTAATTTATCTGGTCCTATAGACTTGACACGGATCACAGCTTCATTGATATCTTCTATCCACTTATCTTTTTCTTCTTGAGAGCTGGGGACATTTTTGTTCAAATAAATACACATATGTAAACAAAAATAACCTCATGTGTTGATAAAAAAAACAACACATGGTTGATGCATACACACAAAAATAACTAAGAAAATGTAAAATAATTGGGCACAGAAATTTTGTTAAAACAAATAAATGTAATACTGAATTATAGATAAAAAATGACACAAGCCCATCAAAGAAAATGCCCAGACAAATGTAAGAATGTATTTAAACAACCCATCACCTGGCTGCCACTAGGATGTACTTGTTTCCTGCATAGATGGCAAAACTGTTCTGTACTGCTGACTTGTCTGTTTCTTCAACCTTTAAACGTTTTATTAATGTTTGAATGTTATTGATTGTTTAAACAAAACTGTTCTGTACTGCTGACTTGTCTGTTTCTTCAACCTTTAAACGTTTTATTAATGTTTGAATGTTATTGATTGTTTAAACAAAACTGTTCTGTACTGCTGACTTGTCTGTTTCTTCAACCTTTAAACGTTTTATTAATGTTTGAATGTTATTGATTGTTTAAACAAAACTGTTCTGTACTGCTGACTTGTCTGTTTCTTCAACCTTTAAACGTTTTATTAATGTTTGAATGTTATTGATTGTTTAAATATAACCTCAAACAAGCCTTTGAACATTAAACTAAGGTCCTACAGGGTAACTTACTACAAACCCACACTACCACACAATTTACTACAAACCCACACTACCACACAATTTACTACAAACCCACACTACCACACAACTTAACGTATTACAAACCCACACAACTTAACTTACTACAAACCCACACTACCATACAACTTAACTTACTAGAAAACCACACTACAAAACAACTTACTACAAACCCACACTACCAAACAACTTATTACAAACCCACACTACCACACAAAAAATTTAACTTACAAACCCACACTACCACACAACTTATTACAAACCCACACAACTTACTACAAACCCACACTACCAAACAACTTACTACAAACCCACACTACCATACAACCTAATTTACTACAAACCCACACTACTACACAAAAAATTTAACCTACTACAAACCCACACTACCAAACAACTTACTACAAACCCACACTACCATACAACCTAATTTACTACAAACCCACACTACTACACAAAAAATTTAACCTACTACAAACCCACACAAACCCACACTACTACACAAAAAATTTAACCTACTACAAACCCACACAAACCCACACTACCACACAACTTACTACAAACCCACACAACTTACTACAAACCCACACTACCACGCACCTTAACTTACAAACCCACACTACCACACAACTTAACTTACTACCAACCCACACTGCCACCCAACTTAAGCCCTAAGAATGAATGAATCCCAATGTAGTCCACACAGCCTGTCAGCTACTTACAGTCATCCCCCTCAGTGGCAGCTGGCCATGAACTTTGAACTGTAGCAGGGATGCTGATGTCCTGCTTGTGTAGACCAACATGTCAGAAAACTGGTGAGTAACAACAACAGAATACAAACACACACTTCTTTTACATAGAGTCAGTGTCAGGCTGGGGTTTTTCTATCAGAATATTTGTGCACAAGATTATCAAAAATTGAGGTGTTGTATTAAACCAACAGATGATAACTGTAAACAAATTGATTTATTAGAGTAGTTAATCAATTTGATGCATTCTGTTAGTGCAATCTAGACCAACATCCGTACACAAGCTTTTGATAAATTATAATGAATGATCCCTTAAGACTAAGAAGATAAATATTGATCAAACTACTCACCAAAAAGAACATTCGTTGCTGATAACCTTTCCTAGAAAACTTCTGAAGGCAACCTTCTCTGATGAACTCCTGAAAGAGGAAAACCAAAATCAATTTTCATGACATTTACATTCAACAGACAAATTAGCTTACAGTGTTGGTAGAAATCACGGGACATAAAGGCAAAGCTATATTAGTGAGGCAGACTGGAGAATAAGGAGCACGTCCTTCAAGAATGTTCTTTATATAGCCAGGCGCGAGCCAAACACTGGCCCCTACTCACCCCACTCAAGGAAAAATTATATGGGGCACCTGCTGATCTGGAGATCACAGTCCAGTTCATACACGAAGTTGGGCTTGTTGTCTAAATCTTCCACCATATTCTCAATTAAGAACGAAGAAGAAGAAGTGGTGCAGATATTGGGACCAAAATAGCCTATAGGGAGCACCATTGTGTGTGCAACATGTATTTATCTGCTCTATGACTTGAACAAGGTGATCTGTATTTTACAAGATGATTGTTGTAGGCTTACAAACAATGCATGGATGCGCTACTGCACAGCTTAGAGGGAACATGGACTGGGAATCAATGGTATGACCAGTTGAACACTGCATGGATGCGCTACTGCACAGCTTAGAGGGAACATGGACTGGGAATCAATGGTATGACCACTTGGGGCTCAGTGGTGAGACATGTAGTAGGGCAGAGTGGTGAGACATGGTGGGACAGAATGGTGAGACATGGTGAGACAGAATGGTGAGACAGAATGGTGAGGAAGAATGGTGAGGAAGAATGGTGAGACATGGTGAGGCAGAATGGTGAGGCAAAATGGTGAGGCAGAATGGTGAGGCAAAATGGTGAGACATGGTGAGGCAGAATGGTGAGACATGGTGAGGCAGAATGGTGAGGCAGAATGGTGAGGCAGAATGGTGAGGCAAAATGGTGAGACATGGTGAGGCAGAATGGTGAGGCAGAATGGTGAGACATGGTGAGGCAGAATGGTGAGGCAGAATGGTGAGACATGGTGAGGCAGAATGGTGAGGCAAAATGGTGAGGCAGAATGGTGAGGCAGAATGGTGAGGCAAAATGGTGAGACATGGTGAGGCAGAATGGTGAGACATGGTAAGACAGAATGCTGAGACATGGTGGGGCAGAATGGTGAGGCAGAATGGTGAGACATGGTGGGACAGAATGGTGAGGCATGGTGGGACAGAATGGTGAGGCATGGTAAGACAGAATGGTGAGACATGGTGGGACAGAATGGTGAGGCATGGTGGGGCAGAATGGTGAGGCAGAATGGTGAGACATGGTGGGACAGAATGGTGAGGCATGGTGGGACAGAATGGTGAGACATGGTGGGACAGAATGGTGAGGCATGGTAAGACAGAATGGTGAGACATGGTGGGACAGAATGGTGAGGCATGGTAAGACAGAATGGTGAGACATGGTGAGGCAGAATGGTGAGACAGAATGGAGGGGCAGAATGGTGAGACATGGTGGGATAGAATGGTGAGACATGGTGGGACAGAATGGTGAGACATGGTGGGACAGAATGGTGAGGCATGGTAAGACAGAATGGTGAGACATGGTGAGGCAGAATGGTGAGACAGAATGGAGGGGCAGAATGGTGAGACATGGTGGGACAGAATGGTGAGACATGGTGGGACAGAATGGTGAGGCATGGTAAGACAGAGTGGTGAGACATGGTGGGACAGAATGGTGAGGCACGGTAAGACAGAATGGTGAGACATGGTGGGACAGAATGGTGAGGCATGGTAAGACAGAATGGTGAGACATGGTAAGACAGAATGGTGAGACATGGTGGGACAGAATGGTGAGACATGGTGGGACAGAATGGTGAGACATGGTGGGACATAATGGTGAGGCATGGTGGGGCAGAATGGTGAGACATGGTGGGGCAGAATGGTGAGACATGGTGGGACCCAGAGGTGACCTCTAACAACACAACAGTAAAGTGTAACAATAACTTACCCTATCTACATGCACTAAATTCTCCAGACCTAAAAGATCTCTCTGTAGCTCCATTAACTTCTCCAGATTTTCCTGTGGTCAAAACAAACAAATCTTATATAAAAATTAGAAGTGTATACAGAAACAAATCAAATTACCAGCTGTATACAAAAAACTTGTGCCACTATTTTAATACCAAATCTTAACTAAAAATTTAATTCAAAAGCTATGGAAAGATAAAAAAATAAATAAATTGGGTATGTTTTGTACAAACCATTTTCTTAAACTGGTCCCGGAATCCATTGGTAATTTCTGTAATCCGACATAAGGCCTCTGTGGGCAGAATAATTGTTTCATTAAGTCAAAGGTTGAAATTTTAACCAGACCAAACTGTAAACACACTTAAAAACTCTATACCACTATAATTGAATTTGTAGCTTGACACACAGCATTCCTACACAAAACATGTGAAACCAGGGCGCTCACCTTTACAATCCTCTGCATCATGATGTGCAAATGAATAATGTTTGACTAGACCTGGGGACATAGAGACAACAGAAGTTTTTTTTACAACTCACCACCATATAACACAACTCACCACCATATAACACCATTCACCACCATATAACACCACTCACCACCATATAACACAACTCACCACCATATAACACAACTCACCACCATATAACACAACTCACCACCATATAACACAACTCACCACCATATAACACCACTCACCACCATATAACACCACTCACCACCATATAACACCACTCACCACCATATAACACAACTCACCACCATATAACACAACTCACCACCATATAACACCACTCACCACCATATAACACCACTCACCACCATATAACACAACTCACCACCATATAACACAACTCACCACCATATAACACAACTCACCACCATATAACACAACTCACCACCATATAACACAACTCACCACCATATAACACAACTCACCACCATATAACACAACTCACCACCATATAACACAACTCACCACCATATAACACCACTCACCACCATATAACACCACTCACCACCATATAACACAACTCACCACCATATAACACAACTCACCACCATATAACACAACTCACCACCATATAACACCACTCACCACCATATAACACCACTCACCACCATATAACACAACTCACCACCATATAACACAACTCACCACCATATAACACAACTCACCACCATATAACACCACTCACCACCATATAACACAACTCACCACCATATAACACAACTCACCACCATATAACACCACTCACCACCATATAACACCACTCACCACCATATAACACAACTCACCACCATATAACACCACTCACCACCATATAACACCACTCACCACCATATAACACAACTCACCACCATATAACACAACTCACCACCATATAACACAACTCACCACCATATAACACCACTCACCACCATATAACACAACTCACCACCATATAACACAACTCACCACCATATAACACAACTCACCACCATATAACACAACTCACCACCATATAACACCACTCACCACCATATAACACCACTCACCACCATATAACACAACTCACCACCATATAACACCACTCACCACCATATAACACAACTCACCACCATATAACACAACTCACCACCATATAACACAACTCACCACCATATAACACCACTCACCACCATATAACACAACTCACCACCATATAACACCACTCACCACCATATAACACAACTCACCACCATATAACACAACTCACCACCATATAACACAACTCACCACCATATAACACAACTCACCACCATATAACACAACTCACCACCATATAACACAACTCACCACCATATAACACCACTCACCACCATATAACACAACTCACCACCATATAACACCACTCACCACCATATAACACAACTCACCACCATATAACACCACTCACCACCATATAACACAACTCACCACCATATAACACAACTCACCACCATATAACACAACTCACCACCATATAACACAACTCACCATAACACAATACCGTTCTCCATCATCAATGAACATCACTGCTAAACTATATTACATGTGCCACCAAAAAAAAGATTATGTCATAATTAATTAATTATCAGTGTTTTAATGAGGAAAAATGTGAATCCACTCACGTTCTAATATGAGCTTGAAATGTAACAAGCGCTGACCAGGACGAAGGAAAAATGTGTTGAGCGGCAGGTAACAAACTTTGTGGGTTTCAAAACTTCGGCAGATTTCTTCAAACGGGCGGTGCTTCTTCACCTTGCTGTCAATCTCATTCAGAATTTCTTCCAGGTGTTCAAAGTAGTGTTCATACAGCTCCTGACAGCTGTTGATTGCCTTCAGCATGAGGTCCCCCACCTTGTGACACTCACCATTCACCTGTGGCTGCACCTTCCCTTCCCTGGAGAAATAGGCTCTACATAAGCCACACAAACAATAGCACAGTGTCTAGACTACAAGTCTGTCAAACTTATGTGTTAACACAAAGACTTCATCACTGAACACCAGGAGATACCATTTTGAGAAATGGTTTTTAGAAGTATCTTTTGTGTTAATACATAATTGTACAGCAAAAATAATATAAGACAACTTGATACTTAATCACGTGAAAAAAAAATGCAGAAAAGCAATAAAACTAGTAGACACCATGAAACAATGAGACACCACGAAACAAGGAGACACCATGAAGCTAGGAGAAACCATAAGATGCACAAACCAGGCAGCCAGTCTCTGTTCTATCTCCTTGAGTAGAGCATAATGAAAGTTGTAGATTGGATCAAAGTAGTTGAACACCACCTCAGTCACAGAGTTCAAGGTTGTTGCATCACAGCTGACAGAGTTACGGAACCACTGGGGAAAACACATCTTTAATTAATACACAGGTAAATACTGAGGGAAAACACATCTTTAATTTAAAAAGTAGGCAAATACTGGGGAAAACACATCTTTACTTAATACACAGGTAAATACTGGGGAAAACACATCTTTAATTAATACACAGGTTAATAAAGGGGGGAACAATCAGATTTACTGGTTAAACAATCAAAGATACAGCAAAGGGTAAATATTATACTCATACATTGAAAATTGAAGTTAATAAAGAAAAAGTACCCACCACACACAAAACTTCCAAATCTTTCTTGTATGTCCTCTCTGTCATCAACAATTCTTTAGCAATGTAGTAGGCAGTATCTGTGGGCCGGTGCTGAAATAGGTGCAGTGGCTCCATGATTGACTTACGTCTACTAATAAGTCATCTCATTTCATAATTTGTATGATTCATGAAGCGTTATAAACATTTCATTTAACAGTTTTATTAGTAATTGTAAAACAATCATCACACTAATTAACACTTGTAATTAGCTTAACATTACTAATGCAAATGGAATGCATTTATTGTATAGATTTATAGCTGTAAGATGCCAATAGTTAATTTAGCAAATTTTTCTATTGAGGAATGAATATGAGACACCATATATATCTATATATATATCTATATATATTTATATATATCTATATATATATCTATATATATTTATATATATCTATATATATCTATATATATATATCTATATATATATATCTATATATATATATATATATAATATATCTATATATAAAATATATATATATAAAATATATATATATCTATATATAATATATATCTATATATAAAATATATATATATATATAAAATATATATATATACATGTATATATACACATAATTTAAAAACAGAAATCCTGATGAGCCTCCTACCCTGACTTTCTTTCTCTGCTCCTCTTCATTTTCTTGCGCTGACAAAATGCTGCCTTCAGACGTGGCTCTGGTGGTCTTTGGGGGGCTGGAGTTGGGTTCACTGACGGCGCTCATTCCACTCATGTCAGCATGACCATCACTCATGACCCTCTGGAAGGACAGCTCACTAGCATCCCCATGGTACACGTCCTGGAAGGAATCCTCGTGAGAGAAAGCGTTAGAGATGGATGTACGCCCCTTTTTGTTAGGTACCTCAGGGGCTGCATTGTAAGGAAGTGGAAGACCGTTACTTGCTAGAGAAAAAACTCGCTCGCCGTGTCCGTTTCGTATGCCACTGTACATCTCTTGGTTGTCTAATATATCCTCACTGGAATGAATGCTGAACTCTTTCATTCTATAGTCTATGTTGTTGGCTGAGTCCTTTGTGTCGTGAGCAATGTAGTCGCTGTGTGGTAGGTTGGACTGCCCTGGGATAGCCCCACCGTGGGGGATGTAGTCGCTGTGTGGAAACTGGGGATGTGCTGGGATAGCGCCATCATGGGCGATGTAGTCAGAGACAGGAGGTAGCTGCATCTCTTCTTCTTCTTCGTCATCATCAAATGGGGGTGGTGGAGGGGGCGGGGATGGGGATGTGAGAGTTGGAGGGGAGGGAGGAGGTGGGGGGAGATCATCTATGTCGTCTGCTTTAAAAGACAGCTGATGAGGTACTGTCTGAATTTTCTTGGGGGGACTGCAATCAGAGAAGTGATGAAATTAACAGTACTAGTTACAGAATTTAAAGATATTAAAATAGGAAGGTCTAAAAATTTTAACAAATAAAATATATTATATAAATATTTCTTGAATAGAATATTATAGCAGGTTGTGTCAATTTAAATATACATCTCTATACAGAAATCTAGTTTTACAGGAGACCAGATGACAAGTCTAGCCTAACCTGTGACCAGATGACAAGTCTAGCCTAACCTGTGACCAGATGACAAGTCTAGCCTAACCTGTGACCAGATGACAAGTCTAGCCTAACCTGTGACCAGATGACAAGTCTAGCCCACCCTGTGACCAGATGACAAGTCTAGCTTTACCTGTGACCAGATGACAAGACTAACCTACCCTGTGACCAGATGACAAGTCTATCTTTACCTGTGACCAGATGACAAGTCTAGCCTACCCTGTGTCCAGATGACAAGTCTATCTTTACCTGTGACCAGATCACAAGTCTAGCCTACCCTGTGACCAGATGACAAGTCTAGCCTAACCTGTGACCAGATGACAAGACTAACCTACCCTGTGACCAGATGACAAGTCTAGCCTAACCTGTGACCAGATGACAAGTCTAGCCTAACCTGTGACCAGATGACAAGTCTAGCCTACCCTGTGACCAGATGACAAGTCTAGCCTAACCTGTGACCAGATGACAAGTCTAGCCTAACCTGTGACCAGATGACAAGACTAACCTACCCTGTGACCAGATGACAAGTCTAGCCTAACCTGTGACCAGATGACAAGTCTAGCCTAACCTGTGACCAGATGACAAGTCTAGCCTAACCTGTGACCAGATGACAAGACTAACCTACCCTGTGACCAGATGACAAGTCTAGCCTAACCTGTGACCAGATGACAAGTCTAGCCTAACCTGTGACCAGATGACAAGACTAACCTACCCTGTGACCAGATGACAAGTCTAGCCTAACCTGTGACCAGATGACAAGTCTAGCCTACCCTGTGACCAGATGACAAGTCTAGCCTAACCTGTGACCAGATGACAAGTCTAGCCTAACCGGTGAACAGATGACAAGACTAACCTAACCTGTGACGGGATGACAAGTCTAGCCTAACCGGTGAACAGATGACAAGTCTAGCCTAACCGGTGAACAGATGACAAGACTAACCTAACCTGTGACCAGATGACAAGTCTAGCCTAACCTGTGACCAGATCACAAGTCTAACCTACCCTGTGACCAGATGACAAGTCTAGCCTAACCGGTGACCAGATGACAAGTCTATCTTACCTGTGTCTGGGTGACAAAGGAGCCCCTGGATCCTCTTCCACAACTTCTGGAATGTTCTCTATCTCAGCCGTCCTTGACAGGCGATGATCTTCTTCTCCATTCTCCTCCCCCTTATGTAGAAGACCAAAGACAGGGGCAGACAACTTGCGGTCCTTCTGTGTGAACCTGGCCTGCACTAACGAAGATACTGAAATGGAAAAAAAAAGATCAATTTTTTGTAATAATAGAAAACAAATATTATTTTGTAAACAAAATTAATTTTTGTTTTAATTCATTATGCAATTATGATTTTATAAAAAAGTTTTCATGACCAAAAACAATAAAATTAAGAAATTTAAAATCATGGGTTGGCTACCAAAAGTTAACATGCAAGACATTTTTTATTCCCTAGTCTACAGTGTAGACAAGTGTTCAAACTATGGAATGGTCAAAAACAAATAGCTTGTCATTGGTAAGCTTATTATACATATTCCTTGTCTGATATGGCCTGCCTATACTTACTATGCTATTTTAATTCAGTAGGGATATTTATACTAGTACTTTGTTAATATGATTTTATTTAGTTACATCTTTAATTAAATTAAATTCATGTTTATTTCAAATAGCTAATTCCAAAATGGTTGTATAAATATGCTTTCTAAATATTACATCTGATTCACATAGCTAATTCCAAAATGGTGGTATAAATATGCTTTCTAAATATTACATCCGAATTGTTGCGATGATAAAGGAGAATAAAAAAAAAAAAGAAATAGGCACAAAAAAGCCATGAAAATGAAACCCAATATAGTGGCCTATTTTTATCCTTAAAAATATTGCATCTGAATAGTTCTGCTAAAAATATATTTAAAAAACACAACTATTTCAAACAAGAGAGAAAAACATGGCAAGCACCAGAGGGTGATGGTGTCATTAGATGGGGGAGGGGGGACCACATTGTCAGTGTGATATGATGTCATTAGTTGGGGGAGGGGGGACCACATTGTCACTGTGATATGATGTCATTAGTTGTGGGAGGGGGGACCACATTGTCAGTGTGATATGTCATTAGATGGGGGAGGGGGGGACCACATTGTCAGTGTGATGATGTCATTAGATGGGGGAGGGGGGGACCACATTGTCAGTGTGATGATGTCATTAGTTGGGGGAGGGGGGACCACATTGTCAGTGTGATGATGTCATTAGATGGGGGAGGGGGGGACCACATTGTCAGTGTGATGATGTCATTAGATGGGGGAGGGGGGGGGACCACATTGTCAGTGTGATGATGTCATTAGATGGGGAGGGGGGACCACATTGTCAGTGTGATGATGTCATTAGATGGGGGAGGGGGGGACCACATTGTCAGTGTGATGTCATTAAATGGGGGAGGGGGGACCACATTGTCAGTGTGATATGCCAATAGATGGGGGAGGGGGGACCACATTGTCAGTGTGATGATGTCATTAGATGGGGAGGGGGGACCACATTGTCAGTGTGATGATGTCATTAGATGGGGGAGGGGGGACCACATTGTCAGTGTGATGATGTCATTAGATGGGGGACCACATTGTCAGTGTGATGATGTCATTAGATGGGGGAGAGGGGACCACATTGTCAGTGTGATGATGTCATTAGATGGGGGAGGGGGGACCACATTGTCAGTGTGATGATGTCATTAGATGGGGGAGGGGGGACCACATTGTCAGTGTGATGTCATTAGATGGGGGAGGGGGGACCACATTGTCAGTGTGATGTCATTAGATGGGGGAGGGGGGACCACATTGTCAGTGTGATGTCATTAGATGGGGGAGGGGGGACCACATTGTCAGTGTGATATGCCATTAGATGGGGGAGGGGGGACCACATTGTCAGTGTGATATGCCATTAGATGGGGGAGGGGGGGACCACATTGTCAGTGTGATGATGTCATTAGATGGGGGAGGGGGGAGCACATTGTCAGTGTGATGATGTCATTAGATGGGGGAGGGGGGAGCACATTGTCAGTGTGATGATGTCATTAGATGGGGGAGGGGGGGACCACATTGTCAGTGTGATATGCCAATAGATGGGGGAGGGGGGGACCACATTGTCAGTGTGATGATGTCATTAGATGGGGGAGGGGGGACCACATTGTCAGTGTGATATGCCAATAGATGGGGGAGGGGGGACCACATTGTCAGTGTGATATGATGTCATTAGATGGGGGAGGGGGGACCACATTGTCAGTGTGATATGATGTCATTAGATGGGGGAGGGGGGACCACATTGTCAGTGTGATATGATGTCATTAGATGGGGGAGGGGGGACCACATTGTCAGTGTGATATGATGTCATTAGATGGGGGAGGGGGGACCACATTGTCAGTGTGATATGCCATTAGATGGGGGAGGGGGGGACCACATTGTCAGTGTGATGATGTCATTAGATGGGGGAGGGGGGAGCACATTGTCAGTGTGATGATGTCATTAGATGGGGGAGGGGGGACCACATTGTCAGTGTGATGTCATTAGATGGGGGAGGGGGGACCACATTGTCAGTGTGATGATGTCATTAGATGAGGGAGGGGGGACCACATTGTCAGTGTGATGATGTCATTAGATGGGGGAGAGGGGACCACATTGTCAGTGTGATGATGTCATTAGATGGGGGAGGGGGGACCACATTGTCAGTGTGATGTCATTAGATGGGGGAGGGGGGACCACATTGTCAGTGTGATATGCCATTAGATGGGGGAGGGGGGGACCACATTGTCAGTGTGATGATGTCATTAGATGGGGGAGGGGGGAGCACAATGTCAGTGTGATATGATGTCATTAGTTGGGGGAGGGGGGACCACATTGTCACTGTGATATGATGTCATTAGTTGGGGGAGGGGGGACCACATTGTCAGTGTGATGATGTCATTAGATGGGGGGGGACCACATTGTCAGTGTGATGATGTCATTAGTTGGGGGAGGGGGGACCACATTGTCAGTGTGATGATGTCATTAGATGGGGGAGGGGGGACCACATTGTCAGTGTGATGTCATTAGATGGGGGAGGGGGGACCACATTGTCAGTGTGATGTCATTAGATGGGGGAGGGGGGACCACATTGTCAGTGTGATGTCATTAGATGGGGGAGGGGGAGCACATTGTCAGTGTGATGATGTCATTAGATGGGGGACCACATTGTCAGTGTGATATGATGTCATTAGATAGGGGAGGGGGGGGGACCACATTGTCAGTGCGATGATGTCATTAGATGGGGGACCACATTGTCAGTGTGATATGATGTCATTAGATAGGGGAGGGGGGGGGACCACATTGTCAGTGCGATGATGTCATTAGATGGGGGAGGAGAAACCACAGAGTCAATGTAATTTCATTTACGCTGCAACCAGCTTTATAGAATGCAGGGGGATTAGAGAACTCTGCTGATGTTATTTTAAAGTACATTACCTCCCCTTAGATGCTGCTAATGCTGCATAATTAAAAAGATTTGTGGGAAGAAAATCTCCATTTAAAAACAAAATGACAAAGATAATCACTGAATGAAGTTATATGTTCCTATTTTAGTAACATCAAGACCAGTATTTTGCGCTGTAAAATCAAAAACGGCTTTAAACATTGTCAACTCTCCCATTGTTTTAATCAAGAAGCTAAGCCAAACATAAATCAATGAAATATTTTCCTTCTATATAACAAGTCCTAATGCACCCAACAAAAACAACAATGAATAGCATAAGACTACTGAACAATACCTAACCCAAAGATTAAGATCTTGACCTAATCCAAACTCCTTTACCTAACCTTAAGACTACTAAACTATACCTAACCCAAAGACTATGACCTTTAACCCAAAGACTAAGACATTTCCCCGTCCAAACCTGAAGGTCTGTGGGGCAAATGAAGTAGAGTTAACCTGTTTCTATGGCCTCAGAATATGAAGGGGATAGTGTGGTCAGCACTTTGCCTAGCTGCCTTTTATTTTCCCTAATGTGAGTTAGGTACCCATGAGAGCTGGGTGAAATCAGGCACAGTCTATTCGAACCTGGATTAAAACTAAAGACTTACGGGTTAGCAGTCTAGCTCTCTATCACTAGGCCACTCCCTCCCCTAAGAAACAAAGCAACAGAAAGCGGAAGAAATTAAGATCTTTAGCTAATCCAAAACCATCTAACTACCTCAAAGATCATGACCTTTCCCTTACTTAAAGACTATGACCTACACAGAACCCAAAAATTACCAACCCATACCCAAACCAAAGACTAAGACCTCTACACAATGTAAAACAATTGACCTATAGCTAACTGCAGCTGAATTACAATATCTTCACAACATTATGGTCCTCCATTAATGCATCCTATTGCTACACCAAAAAACGGACACCATCCTATTGCTACACCAAAAAACGGACACCATCCTATTGCTACACCAAAAAACGGACACCATCCTATTGCTACACCAAAAAACGGACACCATACTATTGCTACACCAAAAAACGGACACCATCCTATTGCTACACCAAAAATTGACACCATTCTACTGACACCACAATACAACTGACACCATTCTACTGCCACCACAATACAACTGACACCATTCTACTGCCACCACAATACAACTGACACCATTCTACTGCCACCACAATACAACTGACACCATCCTATACCACAATACAACTGACACCATTCTACTGCCACCACAATACAACTGACACCATTCTACTGCCACCACAATACAACTGACACCATCCTATACCACAATAAAACAGACTACCTCAAAACGTTGCCCAACGCACATTGAGAGTGAGAACATGGGGGCCCATCTTTCAATTCTATTTAAAAAAAGATTAAGAAGCCATTAATCTCCAGCCCTCATCTCCCCATTAATGACACAGTTCCATCTCTTCTTCCCTTTTAACTAGATCAATGCAGGCATAGCATCTTTAACACATTACTCACAGCGGGTTTTTTGTTACAAGACACAGTGTACTCAGATAAATTGCATAAGAAAGAAAAACTTGCATCAACAATCGATGACATGAAATGTATTGCCATTCTATTACATGAAATCTATAGCCTTTCTATCACATATGTATTGCTTATTTTAACATGAATAAATCTACTGCCTGTCTATAAAACTTAGACTATTGCTTGTCTATGCTAAGTAATCTATTGAAAAAATCTATGTCTATCTATAACATGAGGAAATCTATAGTCTG